CTTTGAGGTGTGTGTGTGTGTGTGTGTGTGTGTCTCTCCAGTTATAGTTTCTGTCCATTGGCTCCTCGTCAAATTCAGAATAGAATTCAAAATCTTACTAAGCTCTCAACAACCTAGCTCCATCTTATATTACAGATCTTATTGTTCCATATTTTCCTAACAAAGCACTTCGCTCTCAGACTGCAGGTTTACTTGTGGTTCCTAGTTTCCAAAAGCAGAATGGGAGGAAGATCTTTCAGTTATCAGGCTCCTCTCTTGTGGAACCAACTTCCAGTTTCTGTCTGTGAGGCTGACACATTGTCCAGTTTTAAGATTAGGCTTAAGTCTTTCCTTTTCGATAAATCCTATGTTGTATGGTCTGGAGACAGTGACAAAAAGACAGGAGCAAGAACTGGAAGTGTCAGAAATGAAGATGATGAGGTTCTCCTTAGGCGTGACAAGGACATGGATAAGATTAGGAATTAGGTCATCAGAGGTACAGCACAGGCTGAACAACTGGGAGATAAAGGTAAGAGCCGAAAGAAGTAGCAGTGACTTTAATTAAAGTGATGTCGCAAACGAATAAGAGTTTTTCTCTGTATAATTTATTATTTTATTTGAAATGTGAAAGGAGCTTCTTGGGGAATAATTAAATCAGTTTCTCCTCTTTGTTTATCAGCAACGTGAAGAAAAGGCAGATGGAGGTAAAGAGCACTTCCGTAAGATGATCTCCGTGACCCTGAGAGAGGACTAGGAGATCAAAAGGGTTCCTGCTCATGACCAGGGAGATTAAAAAAAGACCCTGATCTGCTGACTTAAGCAGGTACAACCTTGATAATGTTAAGATAACGCCATCAGGATTTAACAAAGCAAAAATTATCAGAGCCCTTTAATTTAATAGTACAATTTAAAACATTAAAATTCTGCTTGATGCAGGAAGGAGCTTTTCATTTCTTTAACAACCCAGTCAGAATGACATGAGTGTGGAAAAGATGTTACAATGTTTGGAGAGTTTTAAAAGATGGGTGTCTAACAAAGTTAAGTCAGGTCCTCTGGACTGATTCTTCTTGTTGAAAAAGAAAGATGTGCTGAAACTTTTAAAACTGGATTTAGAACCATTCAGCACTTCATTAAATCCAAAAGAACGGTTTTAAAACATCGTCTGAGGAAGAATTGTGGTCAGAAAACTGCACAAGGCCGTGACCTCAGAGCACTTCAGAATCTAAGATGCTCACAGTAATTCATGGCTAAATGTTTACACAGGATAGTGGAAAAGATTTTAATGAAAAGGTTTAAAAATCAAATGAACGACCAGACGAGAAATCAAATTTGTAGGTGGCGTTTTCACACTTTGCCTTTTAATGGCAGCATTTTTTTTTTCACATGTTTTTGAAGGAACTTGGCTGGTAGGTTGTCCCTAACATCTTGGAGAGCTAATAATTTAACAGGAATCTTTAGCCTTAATGTCTAATTTCATAAAAAAAAATACCATTTCTCTAATTTCAAAGGAACCATGTGCAGAGCTTCAGCGTTGCTTGCAGACACATCTGCCACCATGCACCAAACTTTATACATTATTGGTTTTGCAGTGTTTCAACTTTTTGGGTGCAATTTTTTGACCATTCTCCAGATTGTAGGCACTTGAAAAACTTCTGCCAGTTCTGAGCTGATGTCTTTGCTGGACATGTGTTCATTTCAAAGAGCAGAAAGCACAATGCCTCTTTCATCTGCTGCACAAAGCTCCCTTGGCCAACTGTGTTTCCTGTTTCACTGTACTTCTTCAAAATATCTTGAACATTAAATTTTAAGACCTCAGTCTGCTGAGAAATCTTTGCACGAATGAGACTGTGCTGATGTATTCAACTACCTGTTTTTAAAAAAAAAATACAGGTCTCTTGTAAATGAGTGCGAGACTCATTGAGACTAACCTGAATAAATAGAAGTTGAATTGTTGGGCCGCCCATCTGTGACATGAAACAATCTCACCTTGGTAGTTAAGTTTTTCTGGCCCTCATCCAGTTGCCTCACTTTTTTCTTTTTCAGGTAGAAATAATGTTTCCAGATAATATTTGAAATGATCATTAGCAGATGCTTGGTACTATCAAATAACCACACATCGGACCATAACAAAAATCACTGAAACTGGGCAAAAATAAAAACAGACGCCTTTTGAAAGCAAGATCATCACACCAAATCATTTCAAATTTTGTCTGAACTTATTTAGCATCTTGAAAATTGATTAAATAAATTAAAAATGCCATGTCAAACGTGCTATTATTCAAACTCATTGAACAACTCGCCAGTTTCTGCATATTTAAACAGAATATTTATACAAAACATCCACAAACTGTCCTTACATTAACCTCGTTATTTGTGTCTGAGTTAAAGCAGAATATATATATATATATATAAAATAATCACACGCTGTTAATTTTATAATTACAGTTTATTATATTCTCCTGTCAAGACAAACTGAACAGACTTTTCCCAACAAAGAAACTCAGAAAAGCTCCTCTTAAAATTAGACATCTAATTTACGGTAATGTTTGTCCTCGTAGGCACCGGTTACTAAACTGAACAGAGCTTATGCACACGGTTCTGTAACGCAATCACTTTTTGTTTATACAGAAATCACAAGCACAACACTAGGAAAGTAAAGGTACAAAGTCAATATTTCCAAAGAACAAAGTGAACAGTCCTGTACCCTAGAGGTTATAAGAGCTCCGCGTTTATGCTGAAAGTGGTTTGATGTCCGAGTGCTATTCCAGGTTTATTACTCCGCCAGTCCACAGTGCTGCTACGTACATACTTTAGGACACAGGCACTAACATTCAAAACACACGGGATCAACACACAGCCATCACTGCTCTAGGAATTGATCAGTAGGCCCATGAGCAGAGGCTAGGATGGATAGCAAAAATGAGGATGGTGGAGGGTGATGCAAGAGAAATGGATGGTCTAGCCCTTTATGGGTGAGGCAGTTTGAAATTCTGCACGCAACACCTGGGATGCATTTTTGTTCCAACTCACTTCTGTGAAATCAACATGCACGGTTCCAAGCTGTGGGCTAAAAGGGTTCAAAGCTGGGGTAATGGCACTCGATTCATTTAATAAATCCATATCCCACAGTGCCATCAGCTGAGGAAGCCCCACTCACTCAGCTAGCTGCCACACCAAAGAGCTCGGTCACAACGAAAGGCCAAAGACACGCCTGAAGTCAGTGCTCTTAGCGACTCTCACTCATACACATTTTTATATACATACACTCAAAATCACTCCTTTAACACAAATGGCCAGTTAAAAAAGTCTAACTACAGTTGAATCACATGAAAGTCACATCTTCATCTACGCCTTCACTTCACTCGCAGCTTCCTTTTCACCATTTTCAACCTCCATTTCTTCATCACCGCTCTCTTTGCTCTCAGTCTTCACTTTCTCCGCTTCTTTCTGCTCGTGGAGGAAAACAAACAAACAAAAAAAACAGATCAGCACCTTTTCATTCAATCTCTAAACCAGCTAACACACTTATTGCTCCCTCCAGTGGCTGATGTGAAGCAAGACCGCTTTTACCTTCGAATCCCTCTCTGCAAATTTTTGGAACATGTTGGCATAGATGCGTTTGTCCTTCTCGTGCTGCTCTTTCAGACGTTTATGACACAGGAGCACCTGAAAGGACAGAAGAGTGTGAGACAACTACATTTTCAAAGAAATAGAATCAGCAGCAGCATATGATCGACCGATTTTAAATTTTAACTAGCTCTGCATCATTTCTGACCCCGTTAGAAATATTTTACATTCATTCAACCTTTATTTATACAGGCTAGTGTCATTGAGCCACAAGGACTCATTTTCAAGAGGGACCTGTTCCAGACAGAACATATACCGTATTTTCCGGCCTAAAAGTCGCACCTTTTTTGCCTAATTTGCATACCCTGCGACTTATACACTGAAGTGACTTTTATGTTTTTATCCACATATTTATAAACCAATTTCTGACTGAAATATGATTTCATTCATTCTGACATGGAAAATATTGAACACTACCATTTTCAATCGCTAGATGGCGCTCGAGTGGTATGGCATGCCATTGTGTCATGTAATAGGTAAAAGTGGCCATTAATGACACAATTGACTAGCCAAAGTAGCCACCTTCATCCAGCTCCGGGATCAAGCCTGAAAAAAAGTCAAATCAGCTTCATTTTGCTGCGCCGCCCAAGTGAAATGAAGCCGATTTGACCACTAAAGTGCATTTATTAAGCAAAAGTTAGAATATAGACCTTTGCTATAACGTTCAGCAAACAAAATGTTTTAGGTGCTTATTTTTTTACATTTCGAAGAAATGCAAAGCAAGTCGACCCTCTGCGTGCTCCTGCTTCCGCTTATCGGCTTTTGAAATGCAGCTGATTTGACCATCAAAGTGCATTTATTAAGGAAAAGTTAGACTGAGACACACCTTTACTATAATTTCCAGCAAACAAATAATTGTGTGTTAATCTTGTTAAGTTCTTGTTGAAGTCCTCCCGTGCACGCTCCTGCGGCCACCATTTGGCAGCCAATCAAGTTTTGGAACAACACTGGCCCACATTTCCGGGTTGCCAGCAATGACGCGTAACAAACGCGACGCATCAGCAGTGATGCATAATGGACGCAACTTAAACGGCAAAGCAACATCCCCCCCCCACACACACTTTATTAGACATATTTGGGCTGATGCGACTTATAGGGCGGTGCAACATGTACGGTGGAAAATACAGACAACAACAACAATAAACAATGACAACAATACAGTAAAAATGCAGTAAAAAAATAAAAGTAGAGTATGAAACAATAAATCGGGGTGCCGTAAAACAGGGTGAAACACTAAAAACAAGAACATATTAGCTTTGATTTTTCCAAGATAAAAAAAAAGCAAGAAATATAATCCATTACTTGACTCTTTGCAGCCTTGTTGGCAGGATACAGATGAACAACTCGCTGGAAGTCGTTCCTCGCACCATCAAACTCTTTCATACAGAACAGTGCCTCTCCTCTTCGGAACAAGGCTTTTTCATTGGAGGAGTCAATTTCCAGTGCCTGCAAGCAGAGCCTGAATAAAACTTTTTGACAAATACTAAGTTCTTCTAATAAAACAAGCCCATCTAATACAACTTTACAATCTATTATTAACTAAGTAAAATGCATTTAATAACTTTGAGGACATATGCATTGGTACATCATTTCTGTTAGCACAGAGTAAATACCTTGTTACAGTTTTCCAAAGCTTGGTTTGGTTCCTGCATTTTAAGGTAGCACATGGCCAAGTTCAGGTGTGCAGCTAGCCGCAACGCTTTTGCTTTCTTATCATCCTCTTCTGACAGGCTGGACTCGTGTTCCAACCAGGAAACAATCTTTTTGTACTGAACAGATGCGTGCTTGTGTTTTCCCTCCTGGAACAGAAAGAATCAGTGGCCTGGTTAAAATAGAAAAACATGCTCAAATCCAGGGAACCTTAAAGGCTTAGCATTCCTTGAAGCAATGCATATCACCTGGTGCCTATCAAGCCATTGTTTTAGACTAACACGTTATGTTGAGAAATGAAATAGTAGCATGTTTAAGCTAATCCTGAATACGAGGTTAAGTGCAATCTCATGCAATAACACAAGTCGACATGCTCCGACTGTGAGAAGTGATTGACTTTCAGCTACTAACACACCAAACTTTAGATCAATAAATGTAAAAAGGACGTAATTACAGCCACTTTGTGTTGGTTAATTTTCTTTAGCTGTGGCAACTATCTGAATTTGATCACCTCTAAAAGTTGATTAGTAGTGAATTTATATTAATCAAAAACATTTTTGAAAGTTTTATTAAAATCCATCCAGTGGATTTTTATGCTAACAGACACAATTGACAACAGCTAATGCTAATATTTTAAGCAAAGACTTTTGCACCGTTATCTTTCAGAATGTGTTGGGAATCGGTCTCAGCTACTACAACACCAAATTACAAGCTAATAATCTTTAAAACTGACTGAGTTTGATCTATTTTTGTGTTTTATTAATGGCTGTGGTAGCCAAAAATTAACCAGTTGTAGATGTACATCTTATGATTACTTTGTACAAGTTTCAACAAAATGTATAGTTCATGAGCTATTTTGCTAACCTTATAGACAAGCACAAACACAGAAATAAGGAAAATGTTTCTTTAAGACATACCTTAAAATATTGTGTTCCCTTCTCTTTGACGATACTGCTTTGCTCCAGCTTTTCTAAGGTGTTCATTTCCCATGATTCCTTAGCCTAATGAAGAAAAACAGCTAGGTAAACAAAAGCTATTCAACACTTACTGTTAAGCTGCTGCATAGCTCGGAGATCTGCTTACCTTCTCAAAGTCTGTCAGCTTTATCTTGTATTTCAGTGTTGCTCCACCAGGAATGTTGTACTTTTCACTTCCAGCATTTCCAAAGCCATATCTGCAAGTTACAAACATCACTGGTCTTAGGTGTATGCAATGACTGCTGTGCAACCCAAAACTCTCACTTTGCTTAGGCAACAAGGTGGTTTATAGCAGTTCTGCCAGATAATTTATGCTAATTTACCTATTTTAACCACTAAGTTGTATCAATTCATGATAACAGATGTATAAGCTCTCTGTGCAACTTTGGACGATTCTCTAACAGGACTTTACCACAATAAAGGTAAAGATGTGTTAAACTCCACCATACTTGGGCTTGATAGTGAAGAGAGCCTCTTCTCCCTGCTCCATAGCCATGATAGATTTCTCCACACCAGCTGGCAAATGGAAGCTCTCTCCATCCCCAATCTCAAACTTCAGTTCTCTCTGGTCAAATAAGCGCTCGTCACAGGTGCCCTCCACAGTGACTGAAATGTAAAACAAAATCTAGGATGAATTTGTGTCACAGACTCTTGAAACATTGTAAAAATCATCAAATTATTTTTGTTTTGGGATGATTGCAAGTTAAATATGGCAAAATATGAATTGGTTTTGAAAAAGTTTTAAGTCTGTACACCAGAAATTATTTCATTTATGAAAAAACAATATATATTTTTTAAATAAAAATGTTAAGACTGTATCCACCTGCACATTTGTTTAAGCATTACTTATTAATAGTAAATATCACATTTAATTCACCACCCTAAAAACGCAATTATACTTTTGACACAATATATTTTATATATATAAAAAAAATCTCCATGACTGATATCTGAAATGGTTAAAACTCAGTCAATAAAATAACAACATTATAACATTCTTATTCTATTTACTTCAATTGTTAATATATAAAAATAAGTAAAAATAATCAATATACCTTTTGGAAATCCAACAAGCATAGTTTGAGATATAAATCTAAAGTTAATATGAATATATATAAAAAAAAAAAAAATCACAGTTGTGACGTGCATTGATTTTTATTAATTTTAACCTTTCAAATAAGACATTTAACAAAAACTGGTTTCCCTAGGAACAGGATGGTCAATTGGATATTGGCAAATAAATGGCTGTAACTTTACTCATCTTTTAGGGGTGGGGGTGGCAATCTATTTTTAGAAGCAGATACAGAAACAAATTTGAAAAGGTTTACATCCGATAACTGTAGACAATCGAGATGCATCGATAACTCTTTCAATATCACACTGCAGTCCTCTGAATAGAGGTCGAAGTGAATCATGAGGTGCCTAAATATTCCCATCTCCATTACCTTCTACAACTGCTCCTTCATTGGGTTTGGAATAACCCTCCCCTTTGGTGATAATACGGCGAATGATCCCTCCATCTTCATCATCCGTTATGTCCTCTCCTCGAAATTCAAACAGCTCCACCTTTAGGAGAGTGAACATGATTTGACATCTGGATTTTCCAGGCCAGTAATCAGCTTACACTATATTTTATACATTTTGACACAAGCACAAATTGGGTGTATACCTCAAAAAGAAGAGTGGCGTTGGGTGGTATCTTTGGTGGGCTGCCTGCAGATCCATATGCATATTCTGGTTTACAAACCAGCTGGCACAACTCTCCCACTTTCATCGTGGCCACGCCGATGTCCCATGCCTTTATCACTTGGCCTAAAGAAATAAAACTTAATCAGGGTTGCTGCACACACGGCTACAGCTCACATATATTCATGGTGCTTAGATAAAAGTATAACAACCTTTGCCCAGTTCAAAGGAAAACTTCTCTCCCCTATCTCTGCTGGAGTCAAAGTGTGTCCCATCCAGAAGTGTACCAACATAATGGACAAACACTTTGTCACCAGTCATGGGGAACTCTGAGCCTGTTCCTTCTCTTCTGACCAGCTGTAATAAAAAAAAAAACAACAATTATGGTCATCAAATTTATTAAGACGTTTGAGCTCTTAAGGGAAAATGGAAATCATGTGAATCCACCCTGCAAGGTTTGACAGTGTGCGCCAGGAAAAGTTTAAAGTGCTCCATCCTGCATGTTTCATTCAAAACGGAACCATGCTCAGCTACAGCATTGATCCGCTCCAGAGATCCTTCTGGAAATGCGGAGGGTTGACAGGCCAATTTTTGACGTCACTGCAATCTTAGTGATACATCATCAATCCACCAAATGCAATGAATGAATATTAAAAATCCCGTACAACGCTGTCAACATCGCAATTACATTGATGTAGCATACAGCATACTTGCTATACGCGGCTAACGTTAGCCTAGCTTAGAGTACCAAAACATGGTCATTCACCTTTAAAACACCCCCATCTTTCTTTGGCGTTATGTCTTCGCCCTCCATGGTGTGTTGTCCTCCGCCTGTCTGCTCCTCTGCAGTCATAGTCATGAGTCAACACTTACCCCCAACCCTACAAAGCAGGGCAACCTAAACTTAACGACGGACGTTGGCTATCAGTGAGCCACGCTAACCGTGCAACAAGCAACAACCAGCTTCCAGTCGTCGTTCAAAGCGGTCTGCGCCGACGCAACTTCACTGCTATTGCTGTTTTGAGTTAATGTGCACGGTGCAGTCTTTACACAACTGCACAAAAACCGTGGCAGCCACGCTGAAGTCCGAGAAAAGAATCGTTTCCAGCTCACGTTGCCTCGCTATATGGCAGCTGACAAGCGCTTGTAGAAGAGCAGAGAACTTTCCAGACAGTCCAGCAGGCTCGAGCGCGACGAACGAGCCTTAGTGGCGTTACATGCTAACGAAAGCATCTACCGAAAAGGCGGTGCTTAAAGAAGGAGCATCGCTTTACTAAATATTGAATTCCACAAAACTAAAACTTGACTAACATAGCTTCTTGTACTCTGTTATGAGTGAATATAATTCTGCAAAATAGCAAAATATAACTTGGCGTTAAACAATCCCCGCTCACAAAGATAGCACTAAATAGAAAAACACGCGCTTCTTTTTGTATCTCGCTCCTTATTGGCTACAGTCCGTAGCCGCTTCTGTTTGTTGGCGCGATTATTGAAACACCGGGAGTTTAACATAAGAAGGACGACATTTCACATCTCTCTTGTAAGTTTACAACTTAACAAACATCTTTGTATCGTTTCAATGTCAGAACGCTAAAGTACTAATACAATAAGGAGACTTGACGCTGCCTTGCTTTGGCTTGCCTTGACTTTGGATTTTCGCGTATGTTTTTCACAAGACAATTTTGTATCACCTCACTTACTGTAATATTTAATGAAAGATTTGTCTGCTTTCGTAGGGTTGAGAAATGTGTCGCCTAAACCACTGTCATAAGTCAAGACAGGCCAGTTCAAACTGAATTAACACAGCCCAGAGATCAATCTAAATATTTTTTTATTTTCTTTCAGGCACATCTCAGGAACATGGAAAATGGCAGGACCCAGTTTCCGTTTCCCTACCAGCCCTATAACATCCAGGAGCAGTTCATGCAAGTCCTCTACAGTGCTCTGGACCAAGGCAAAGTGGGCATCTTTGAAAGCCCAACTGGAACGGTGTGTTAAAATACACAAATCAAAACTATTTTATTAATTAAAGGCCCAGCAATACTTGAAGGAATGCATATCACCTGCCACCTGTTATCAGACTGAGTCTGAGACCATCTTATGTTGAGGAATGATGGAGTCGTAGCCCTTTTTTGGTCAAACCTTGAAAATAACATAAGGCACAGCCTTAAACATTAATGCAAGACCTGGCTTGATCTATTAGTGCTTGAAGTATGTGTTGTGACTGACTGTCAGCTACTACCACACCAAATTTGAGCTAAATATCTGTAACTTTCACTGAGTTATAACCATTTTTGTGTTGTCTGTGGTAGCAGTAGCGGCCGTCTTGAATTGGGTTGACTTCAACAGATAGTCATCTGTAGCTGAACACTTTATGATTACTTTCTGAAAGTTTCATTGAAAGCCACCGGGTGGTTCATAAGAAATTTTGCTAACAGACATACGGGGTTGATTGCAAAAGATGACACCATGTTTTTAAGCAAAGATGTCGCACGATTTGTTGCGCTTAAAATATGTGTTGGGGTTGATGCTCAGCTACAACCACGTGAACTTTTAGGGTAATATCTGAACAATCAGCTGAGTTATAACCACATTTGTATTTTCTACGGCCAATTATTGTTAGCTATCATGGCCATCTTGAATCAGATTGACTCTAAAGGTTAATTAGTCGTAGATGTGTATCCAATGAAATCTTTCTGAAAGTGTCATTAAGTCTGGTCCGTGATTCAAGAGAGATTTAACTAATGGAACAGGCTAACAAACACACGACATGTAAAAACATCATCACTCTGCCTTTGCCCTCTGTGGCAGGTGAGAGTAGCTAATGTTGACCCACATCTACATGTTTCTTTAGGGCAAGTCTCTGAGTCTCATCTGTGGGGCCCTGAGCTGGCTGACAGATCATGAGGAGAAGAAGAAGCAGGAGGCAGCTGCTCTGCTGCAGGAAGGAGAAGCCGCTCTCTCCTCTGCTCCTCCATCCTCCAACACCAGCTCCACAGTAGAGCTGGACTGGATCACCGACTTTGTCCAGAAAAAGGCTGAACGTGATTTAGTGTCAAAGCTGAAGGTAAGCAGGAATGTGAATTTGTTTTTCCTCGCCCATTTTTTTTTTTGCTTTTGACTCAAACTGAAAGGTTTTTGCATCAGGAGGAAGAGTTAAAAAGGCGGAAGAGAGAAGAACGATTAGAGATGATTCGAAACAATGCTCACCTCAAGTACGCCAGTAAAAGAAAGGTAACGTCAGCCACAAAGTTCACCATGAACCACATAAAATAAGAGGAAGTTAATATGTTTAACTCTGACTTTAGAGCTTTGAAGAGGATGAAGCTTTTAAGTTGCTTCAGCTAAGCAAAGAGGAACGGAGTGAAACTGCAGGGGAGCAAGAGGATGAAGAGCTTATTGTCGCAGAATATGAAAGTGATGATGAACTAAAGAGTAAAAACAGGTGAGAACAATTATTACATGCTAAATAAAATGTTACAACTATCTGAAATGCAAAGATTAAAACTGGGGATGCACTATAATGGTTTTGGCCGATATACTAAAACTTATTTGACCGATACCAGTATCGATATTTTTTCCCTCTAACTACTTACAGAGACTATATAATTTTCTCTGCTGTGGAATTAAAATACTACATTATTCTGCATGGTCTTTGTCAGTTTGGCCTGCTACCAAATGCAGATGCCAAAAGGGGGCTGAAAAATAAAAATTATATACAGCCCCTTTTATATCAGTTATTTTGATGGAATGGCCGATGTCCGATATTTAACTTTTATCACTAATATTGGCCGATACCATGCTGATAATATTGTGCATCCCTAATATAAACAGTAAAGTTTGTTTGTTTCAAATGCTTAGATTCTTGGAAGGTGAGGATGATGATGATGATGATGATGAACTAGTTGAAGATCACGTGACTAAGGTGTGTGTCAAAGACATAAACATGAAGTGGAATCATGATTAGTATGACGCTGGACTCTTGACGTGAGGCGATGCGTTCGTTTGTAGATTTATTACTGCAGCCGCACTCACTCCCAGTTGGCCCAGTTTGTCCACGAGGTCCAGAAGAGTCCCTTCAGTCAGAACATCAGTGTGGTCGCACTGGGCTCTCGGCAGGTATGGATACAAAAAAAAAGCAGTTTTTTAATGGCACTTGCAATGGTCTGGAACATTTCATCTAACGAGGCGTAGGCAGATTCTTTCAGCCTTTGAACGTTTTCCTTTTAATATTCACACAAGCGACACTTGTTGAAATGTAAAGTGACGATGTATCAGTGAGTCTGCACACCGAGGCACATTTGTCCAAGCTGTTATTTTTATAGAGTCCGTTAGAAGCGATTGTTGTTTACGCTGGCGCTTCACACTGTTTATGATCTGCAGAATCTGTGCATTAATGAGGAGGTGCGGCGGCTGGGCAGCGTGCAGCGCATTAACGACCGCTGCTTAGAGATGCAGAAAAACAAGCACGGTATGATCCGTTCAGCTGCCGAGTTACTCATCCTACTGAAACAAAGTAACTTCAGGTTTTTTTTTTCATATTGTTCTGTTGCTTTGCAGAGAAGCAGAATCACAAAGACGGTGCGAAACGTAAAAGAGGTCCAGAAAAGAGTGTGTGTCCTTACAACAAAGCCTCTGCTCTGCAGCAGATGAGGGATGAAATCCTGGGGAGTGTTCACGATATAGAGAATTTGTTGAAACTGGGCAGAGAGACACATTCGTGCCCTTATTACGGTGCACGCCTTACTATTCCACCTGCACAGGTAACTATTCATTCTGCTCAGGGCACGGCTCATTTACTTCATTTTCTTCAGATTATTCATAATAACTAATTGTGTTTTTGCAGCTGGTTGTGTTGCCCTATCAGATGGTGCTTCATGCAGCCACAAGGAGAGCAGCAGGGGTCCAGCTGAAGGGGCAGGTACGGCGACAGCTGATCATTTTCACGTCTGATGTAGATTCCTCCGTTAATCGGTGGAAGTAGGGGTGCACCGATTTCAGTTTTCTGGCCGACCTGCTGATAATATTTAGGCCGATATCGATTTTGTTTTATAACAACACTGTCAGGTGTCAGGTCACAATGCACCTTCAATTTTCCAATATTGTTGTATTGAAAAACATCTTGAACAATATCCTAGAAACGATACAAACTTATTTTAACTGGACATGAAGTAGTGCTCTGAAATATAAATGAAGTTCAGACAATTGTTGTTAAAACTACAAAAAATAGGTCGAATCGATTTTGCATTAAGTATCGGCTGATCTCCCAAAATTAAGGAAATCGGGGACGATTTATCGGCCGGACGATTTATCGGTGCACCCCTAGTTGGAATTGTTAGAAATTTCTAGAACTGCTCAGAAGTTTATTTTGCTTTTATAACAACTGCCATTCGAACACGTGCGCTCCAGGTGGTGATCATAGACGAAGCTCACAATCTGAGCGACACTCTCTCGTGCATCCACAGCGCGGAGCTCACTGGAGCGCAGGTAAACTCTTTACATCAGAGCGGCCTTTTAGCCGTAGCCACACGCTAACGTTTTCCACACGTCTGCAGCTTTGCCGCGCCCACTCTCAGCTCAGGCAGTACGCAGACCGCTACAAGTAAGTGTCACACAGCGGGTGAATGAAGCCACAAGTTCGTTACGATCTCCCCGTATGAAACGTGCACGTGTCTTCAACACCAGGAGCAGACTGAAGGCAAAGAACTTGATGTACATCAAGCAGATTCTGTTTGTTGTTGAGGGGCTGGTGCGTGTGCTGGGAGGTGAGTCTGAGCCGTTCGTTTCGACTCGCTCGTACCCGAAGCACGCGCCGATCTCCGTTTTCTTCCTGTCTGCAGGTAAAGTGGGACAGAATCCCCAGAGCCAGACTACACAAGCAGGTTAGTCGATGATAAACAAAATCTGTAACGCACACTGAAGCAGAGTTCTCTAAGCGCTGTTTGTTTTAGGGACAGAGATGCACACCATCAATAACTTTCTGTTCAAGGCTCAGATTGACAACATAAACTTGTTTAAGGTAGTTCTCCTAATTATTTATCTAAAAATCGTATCAAATTAAAACACTCCATGAGTGAACCTCTCTGTTGTTTCATCTTTAGTTACAAAAATACTTTGAGAAGAGCATGATAAGCAGGAAGGTAAGTAATCCTAAATAAGTTTGTGTATTTCTGAGTATGACGTACTCAAAATGTGAGCGTGAGCCAGCTGTTTTCCATGTCTGCAGCTGGGTGGGTTTGTGGAGAAGTACGCAGGCTCGGGTGTAACTCTGCAGGCCAGGAGCAGCTCCAACAAGGAGAACCGTCGCACAGAAGGACTAAATCGTTACCTGCAGACCCTCCAAAGCACCCAGAGCTCTGCACCAGGTGACCAAAAAGAGCATCTTGGAGAAGCTGAATCAGCTGCACTCAATATGTACTCAAACTTGTTGAAAGGGCAAAAAATCAAGTTTTTATTTATTTATTGTTCCAACTCTTACTTGCAGTTCCCTCCTTGGACCAGCAGGGGGAAGTAGAGGCAGACAAGGTGCTGTCTGCATCTCCCATGATGCAAGTGGAGGGTTTCTTCATGTCTCTCACCAACAGTAATACTGATGGCAGAGTGGTGGTGCACAAACAGGGTATCATAATATGATACCCTGTTTGTGATAATATTTTTCACACATTACAAATAAAAGCCAAAATGATGACCCGTTTGGGGTAAAAGTGATTCATATATTTATTTTCCAGGTGTTTTATCTGAAAGTAGCATCAATTTCCTCCTGCTGAACCCAGCAGTCCACTTTGCTCAGGTGCTGAAGGAGTGCAGAGCTGTCATCATCGCTGGAGGAACCATGCAGCCTGTGAGTTCCTTCAGATTGTGTGATGAATAATTAGTGTTTTTATTGACTGTTAACGCAGAAAAATATCACACGTAGGTTTCAGACTTCAAACAAGAGCTGCTTTTTTCTGCTGGAGTGGAGGAGGAGCGCATCGTAGAGTTTTCCTGTGGTGAGTGTCCACGTTACATCAGTTTATAGAGAGCTCTTCTGTAATGATGCATATTTTAGAGTTCTGTTCATCAATATTTCTGCTCATGGGAAAATACAAATACGCAACACTTTTCTGATGAAGAAGCGGCTGCTTCAAAAAAGGCTTTTTGTGTTTCGTTACTCCACTCAAGAACAGTGAGAAATGACCAAGTGGACAAAGTTTTTTGCTGATAAAGAAAAACTGAGACGCCTCGTGAATCTTAAATTACCAATCCAAATGTTATAAGCTGATTGAATGACATCATATACAGGACACCACATGGGTTTAATGATCCCTTCAGATTATGCAAAATTATTCCAGTAACGATCTTTTCTTTAAAAAATGACTAAAATATTCATTACTTTTTACACTGCTAAAACTTTGCTCAAAATGTGCTGATTAGATTTGGTTTGAGAAAAAGAGATCACGAGGATGGAGGAAGCCAAAAAAAAAAAAAAAAAATCATGTCTTGCACCATTTCCTGGCCAGGAAACGGTGTAAAAGATGCAACAAAGGGCAGGCAGAGCTTCTAGCTCGATTTAGCATTCTCCAAGATTGGATCCTTCATGGTGGCGAGTTCCAGGAGTCGCAAGTGGCCTAGGATTCTCAGAAATCGTGTCCAGCTTGTGGTTGAGCTCAGTAAACACATGAGCTCGAAACATGAACTAATCCTTCACATAAGGCTGGCAGCTTTACCACGACCGAAACTGCTGCCGACGTCTTCCCAATTTGTCGATATCCAAGGTATCATCCAATTCCAAAAAGCAGAAACCCTGTTATAATAAGTGCGATCATGTACACATCTTCCACGGACAGCACAGATAGGCGCATCATCTTCCACTCACCCCAGGAACCAATAACATCCCCAGCTGCATGGGTCCATTCAGGGCATGAGGGCTCTGCAGCACCCTGTCGTCTGGTGGAAACAAATTTATCAATTGCGTTGAGGGACCAGCTGACCAAATCCATAATAGATTTTGATTCAGAAGATGTGTAAAGAGATGCTCTGAGGTTGACAGAAGAGCAAAAGAGAGAATGAGAACTCTGAAATATTTGTACAACTGATATTCGTACGTTTAAAAGTGCTTGTGTAAAAGTTCTGTTGACGCTCCACAAATTGCATCAGGACGAGTGAAAATGGGTTGAATTAATAGATTATAGTGGGTTTAAACCCCACTGGACTGTATTTTCTGTGAAACGGAGTGTTATAAATGTAAGAAAAAAGAGATTTTGATAAATTGTGATCGCACGTTACTGAATTTCTCAGTTCCAACTCGACTATGTTGAATTTTTCTGTCTTTTTGATGGTGGTCTTCTACTTTAGGCCACGTGATTCCTCCTGAGAACATCCTGCCTCTCGTCTTGTGTGCCGGTCCGTCTGGTCAGGAGCTGGACTTTACTTTTCAAAACAGAGACTCACCTCGAATGGTAAAAATAAAAAAATACACAAACTACACCTCAAATTTAGAATATTTCTTTAGGTTATAAACATGCATAGCTGTGGGAACATGAATCAGGGTGGGTGAGTCTTACTAATGTGTGAATTTTTATGACTCTAAATGTAAAAATATGAAACCAAACCCGTACTTCTTGTTGTATTACCTGAATATAAACAGTTATGCTGTTTATTTTATAGATTAATATAACTGCAGCCATGACTTATTGCTGTTCTCTGCATCCATCAGGGGGTGCTGCAGCACCCTAAGTACCCCTGTTTCTCATGGCATTGTCATTGTCATAAAGTTGTATTTTTTTGCCTTCTGTTTAATTGACCGGAGTTTCTTTTAAAAAGTATTACCATAAACATTCATGTTTTATTTTTTTTCCCAACAGATGGATGAAACGGGTCGCATTCTCTCCAACATTTGCAACGTCGTTCCCGGCGGGGTGGTCTGTTTTTTCCCCTCCTACGAATATTCAAGGCGAATCATTTCTCACTGGGAAGCTGGTGGCATGCTCACCAGACTGGCCAGTAAGAAAAAGGTGCGTCAGCCGGACGTTTATTACAAAAAAGTCTGTGTATAAAAGCCTTACCATAAAAAAACCTACTTAAGATTGAAAATAAATTAATTACAAACTCCTCCGTAGATCTTCCAGGAGCCAAAGAAAGCCAGCCAGGTGGAGCAGGTGCTGAACGAGTTTTCTCGTTGTATCCAGGTAACACCGGCGCTTCGAACATGTTGGACTAGAATTATATGCTGCTACTCCAGTTTCCTCCCACAGACCAAAAACATGCATGTTGGGCTGACTGGTAACTCTGAATTGTCTCTAGGTGTGAGTGAGAGAGTGAATGGTTGTTTGTCTCATTTGTCTCTTATGTGTCCCTGTGATGGACTGGAGACCTGTCCAGGGTGTCCCCCGCCTCTCACAGTGACTGCTGTATATGGGCACCAGTGACCCAACAAGGATGAAGCGGGTAAAGATAATGGATGTAATTACCAACAGGAACTTGTCTCCTTTCGTTTTAGAGATGCGCCTTAGACAGCAGCGGACTCACAGGAGCTTTACTGTTCTCTGTGGTTGGAGGAAAGATGAGCGAGGGGATCAATTTCTCTGACGACTTGGGCAGGTTTGTGATATGTACTTACACATACTTAACCAGCTGTTGAATCTTGTTTGTAATATATATAAAAAAAAAACTACGTTAGCCATTTTGTACGTCTGTTGACAGGTGTGTGGTGATGGTGGGAATGCCTTATCCCAACATCAAATCCCCAGAGCTGCAGGAAAAAATGACATATCTGGACAAACACCTGGTCCGACTCTTTTCTAAACGTTTAATGACTGTTTTATAAGCTCTGTGACAATTAAAGAAAAGCAGTGAGAATATTGTTGTCTGTTTCAGCCTCGCAGTCAAGGAAGAAGCCCTGGACAGGCACTGATAGAAAACCTTTGCATGAAGGCTGTCAATCAGTCTATAGGTAAGAAGAATGATGGAAGGATTAGTAATGAATAAAATGGCCACATTAACACGTCCGTTGTCTGCGAAGGAAGAGCAATCCGTCACCGTGGCGACTACTCCTCCATCATCCTCTGCGACAGACGTTACTCTCGACCTGCGACGCTCTCCAAACTCCCCACTTGGATCAAGGAGCGCACAGAAACACACACCACCTTTGGCCCTGCTTTTGCTGCCTTACGAAAGGTGAGAATCAACTACATACTTTGTATTATTAAAAAATAAAAAGTTTATCATCATAATTTGTTTGTATATTCTTCTTCTTTTCTAGTTCTTCCTGGAAAAGAAGCAGCAGCAACTGTAGTTTTTCTCCTGATGATAAAAGGAGTAAACATCCAGTTTGGCTGAACTGGAGCAACAGCTACGGTTTCTACTGTTCTAATGGAAGAAAATAAAAAAACATACATTACCCACAGCTAAAGTTACAATATTGAACAAAGGAGGTGTTTTTAATCTGTTAAATATTTTATTTACCTTTAATTACATGTTCAGACTGAGAAGTATAGAATAAAAACTACTAATTCATGGCACAGCACAGACTAAAGTTTAAGGACACCAGTTGTACTCGGGGGGGGGGGGGGGGGGAGGGTTTTTTAAACAAAATGTTTTTCAAGTTTTAAACGTTTAAAGAAGTGCAGATTGTTTTATAATCTAAATCAGTCCCATCTTCTCAGCAATTAACATTTTGTATTGAAGTTTGTTGTTAAACTTGTTTCATGAATATGCCAATAAATTATTTGAACATTTACGTGTCTGCGATGTTTACTTTAGCTTTACTGCTGCATTAGCTTTTGATGAACTCTCTTTAGATTGAGAATGGCATCTTATTGTGAAATGTAATAAATTTGAGTTCAAACAAAAAAACATTAGTGCTGTTCATCGTTGATCACATTACGCCTCCCAGTCGTCTTCGTCTGCCATCGAGTGCGGGGCTGGAGGTGGTGGGATGACGTCAGACATCCGGGCGAATGCTCCACTGTTGCCAGAAGACGGCTCACTGGACTCCCCACCTGCCGGGCCTTTTCCTGATATACCTGAAGAGGACAGAAGACCAATGAAGTCTCAAACATCAACTTCCTTAATTACAATGGTCATGAAAGGACTTCTCACCTTTTCTGCGCATGGCCAGTTTATTGAAGAGATCTGACATAAAGTCTCCACCACTGGACGCTGCTCTGACCGCTGGAAAAACAAAACAGGAAGTTTTATTTAAGTATGCAACAAGATCAACTACAGGCCTGGCATCCCTTCAGGTAATTCAGGCAAACAATGAAACTTTTAGGAAATATTTATTAAGTTATCCAGTAGTTCATGAGATATTCTGCTAACAGAGTAAACTCCAAATAGTGAATGGTATAATTTTAAAAGATATTGTGAAATTAGTGCTTGTACATGTGTTGGGTATCAGTCTCAACTACTAACACACTACATTTTAGCTTATAATCTGTGAAACTGACTAATTTATATTCATTCCTTTGCTACTATAAGGTCAGTTAACTGATGGCCATGGGTGGACAGATGCATTCATTAAAAGCCATCTAGATTTTCATGGCATGTTTTAATAAACGGATACACAAACGCACGAGCTTAACACCATCATCCTTCACCTTTCGGCAGCAGGTGATAATGGTTTCACTGGTTCACTCCTTTGGCGCTTTAAAATCAAACTTAAGAACAACAAGACTATCAGTTGAAAGCAGCTCTCTTTAAAAAGTAAATGTTAGCTGTGATCCCTGCTCGATCCCACACCTTGTTCTTGTTCTTTTTGTTTCTTCTTTTCCATCTTGCGATCCTTGACGTTGCGTAACTTGGCTTTGCCGATGCCGCCGGCGTTGCGGATGGACTCCAGCAGGCTGGCGCGGCCGTCTGATGGTTGAACAACTTCACTGGGAGCGCCGGACACAGGGCCTGCAGATGAAGGAGACGGTCAGTGAAAGAGCATGATTAAATCAAACTCATTATTTGTCATTCATTCAACCTTGATTTATCCAGGTTAGCCTCGTTGAGTCAGGAGGACTCATTTACAAGAGAGACCTGATTTAGACAGACAACATATAAAGTACAAACAACAATAAACTACAGTAAAATGCAATTAAAATAAGTGTTATAATACAATCAAGGTGCCATATAAAACAAGGTAAAATACTAAAAACAAGAACAGATTTGCTTAGATTTTTATAATAGCCTTATCAAATGTTTAAAATCCCGTAAAGAAATCAAAGTGGACATCTTCAGTTCTTGTTGCAAGGTGGTCCAGGTTACAGGAGCAGAGTAAGAAAAGGCCTTTTTGCAGAGTTCAGTATGCACTAAGGGAACGCTGCAGGTAATGATGACCTGAGATTGCACGCTGTAACTGCACTGACAATATGACATGTGGGGGGAGATCATAGGCATCGCAACCATTATATGTGAAGGGGACAAGTCCACCCCACATTAAAAAAACGTTCATTTGCATAATAATGACCAACTGACCAAGGAGTACAGGGGTGCAGTGATGAGGACGGTAGTTACAACCAGTTATGAATCTTAGCGCACCATGGTAGACAGCATCCAACATCTGCAAGGAGCTGGCAGCGGCATTCATGTAAATAATGTCACCATAATCAATGACTGGTAGGAAGGTAGCGGTTAAAAGGTGTTTTCTGGTATTCAGAGTTAAACAAGATCTATTTCTGAAAAAGAAACTCAGTTTTAATTTCAGTTTCTTTATCAAGTTTTCAACATGTGGTTTAAAAGGGAGATGTGCATCAACTAAAATTCCTAAGTATTTGTAAGAATCCACAAACTCAATAGGAACACCAAGCATGGACGAGATAGGAGGAACTACTCCTGGCACCAACTTTCTGTTTGAAAACAATATCCCTTTGGTTTTATCAGCATTTAGCACCAGTTTGACACAGAACAAGTCTGACTGAATGATGTCAAATACAGACTGTAGAAGCTGGAAAACCTGGACAACTGTGTTAGCTCGACAATAAACAATTGTATCAATGGCATAGAGATGCAAGGAGGTGTCAGGAATGTTTTGACATACGTTACTTATATAAATTGTAAAAAGAGTGGGGCCTAAAACTGAGCCTTGTGGCACACCAGTAGTTACAGGCAGATAGATGAAGTACTGTTATGTCAAACACAATGCCTCCGACCTGAGAAATAGTTTGAGAACAAGCCAACAGTGTGATCTGAGAAGCAAATATCTTGACAGCTTGTGACATAAGCTGTCAAGATCTACAGTATCAAAGGCTTTGGACAGGTCTACGTACAGTGTCAATCCAGTTAATAAGATTAGTTTTTGTATTGTGTGGCTCTTTGTGCAACATGAACAGACGTGACAAACCTGAACTTGGTGCTTTGGTGACTTCTGTGGAACTCTCTGAGGGAGGAGGTGGTGGAGGAGGTGGAGGAGGCGTTTCTGAAGGAGTGGCAAGAGTGAGGACAGGCTCGGGGGGAGGGGGAGGGGGAGGAGGCGGTGGAGGTGGTAGAGAATTTGGTTGGTGCTGAACTCCTAAAACAAAAAGATTCAAAGTGCTCATCACAAACTGCAGTGAAGTGGGTGACGTGTTTATCTGTGCACAAATAAAACTGACGCCAAAGATAAAAACACAAAATTCAAATAAAACTAATTAACGGCAGGTGTTAACGAGAGTCCACGGTAAAGTTGTATACCAGGTGCGAAGCTCTCCTCGGAGAAGGAGGGCAGCTCAGGGATGTTCTGCGTGGATCCTGACGGGGCAAACCCAGGCCCGAGGTCTGCGCTGTACGACAGGTCGTCTGCGATACCTGGAAGGTCGGGGAGGTACGACGGCACATCTATCTCAGGCACCTGACCCAGGTCTGGCACGTAGAAATAACTTTCTGCTGTCTGTAAAAAAGATGAATTCATTTTGTATGTGGAGATGTGAAATTATGAGGTGTTCATCAGGAGGTACCTGTCTCTCCAGCTGCTCCCTCTTCGTGATGGACAGAGGGGCGTCAAACGGTTTCTCCTCTTTTTCTGTCTCCAGTGTTGTGTGAGTTTTTGTCACTGCTCCCGCCAGAGGATCAAGGAACACATATTTTTTATATCTTGAACAAAACCAAAACAAAACAATTAACACAAAGTAAAAAATTATAGGCAAAAAAATTAATACTAAATCTAAAGAATGCATTTTCTGTGAAAATGTGTGATGGAATTTCCTAAAGGAGCTGAAATGGCATTATTGAAGCTCAAAGAAGCAAAACCCTAGATAAAGGCTAAAAGGAGCAAAACAGTGGCTAAAGTCATGAGTAGAAAATGTTAAGAGAAAAGCTAAGAGTAACAAAACTGCAGTTGAATTTAGCAAAACAGTATCTATAAATTAAAAGTAACAAAAATAGGCTAAATAAAATTTTAAATAAGCAAAAGTTAATGGTATTAAAAAGCTGAGTAAATGTTACAGTTATATGTAGACAAACTTAACAAAAGGCTGTTTAAAAGCAAAACGTAGCCAAAGGCTAGCTAAAAGCTAAAAGCAGCAAAAGCCAAAAACGGAGCCAGTACACTGAAGCATATTTCAAAGAAATAAATGTTTTTGAGGGAACTGAATTTCAAAGCATTTCTAAGAGGAAGATGTTTGTAAGTAAAGCAAACCAAAAGTCACAGCAGCCTTATCCTGAATAAGCTGAATATTTTGATTTATGAATAGCTAAGATAAGATAAAATAGAACTTTATTGATCCCGCAGGAAAAGGTTGTGCCAGAGTTTTAGTACAAAGGAACATACACAAGGAATCACAAAATATATATTTTTTAAAATGCTAAATGCTAAATGCCAAAAATAGCATAAAGTATGCAGAAATAGTTAAGCTGCACAAAACATAAAAAATGTCATAAAAGCATAAAAAAGTGACACAAATATAGTTTCTAGAGGAAACGTGCATCTGCTGACTCACAGATTCTCTGTAGTATTGAAGAGCAGCAGAGAGCTGACAGAGGAGACGTTTCGAGGCAAACTGCCTAACCCTTCTTCAGTCTCATCCTCGGACTTCTTCTTGTTGCTCACACACACCGGGAAATACATCAACTTCTCCTGAAATGAAGAGATCAAGACAATATATGTGTGTGTGTCTTTGTCGGAGGAGTGATCTGCAAAATGTCAACTAAAATCACGAGTAACTCATAAGACAAAAGCCACTGAAGTGTTTCTGAGCACAAACTGAGTATCACATCAGCGGGGACATCGATTCTGGAGGAGAGTGAATAATGCATTCCTGCACCAAACTAAATTGCCAGTGTTTTCTTTCAGTCTGACAAATACACACATGCTCACAAAAACAAAAATCAACAGTCTGACAAGAGCGAGCACACACAGCAGAAAATACGAGATGGTGCAGGAAAAACTGCGGGCTTCACTATAAATAATGCAGGAGCTTGAAGAGAGCCGGGTACACAAGCACACATTTACAGTCACCCCCCCACCCCCCACCCCACCCCACCCCACACACACGCAGAGGTTCTGATGTCCTCTTTGATGCATGTATATTGCGTGACAAAATTTAGTGTCTGTATGATGCTTAGGCAAATCTGCATGAAAGGAGAATGACAGCAGTATAAATATCTGGGCTTTAAATCGTGGCAGGAACTGGTTACTGATTATATTCCTTATATATAAATAAATCCAAAAAAGTATTTGATGCGCTGCTGGTTTTGCAAGTTTTCCCACCTACAAAGAATGGAGAGGTCTGTAATTTTGATCATAGATTAGAAACATTTCAACTGTGAGAAACAGAATCTAAGAAATAAAAAAATCTAGAAAATCACCTCGTGTGAGTTTTAAACAATTCATTTGCATTTGATTGCATGAAATAAATATTTGACACAATGGAAAAACAGAACTTAATATTTGGTACAGAAAACTTTGTTTGCAGTTACAGAGGTCAAACGTTTCCTGGGGTTCTTGACCAGGTTTCCACACCGCAGCAGGGATTTTAGTCCACTCCTCCACACAGATCTTCTCCAGATCTTTCAGGTTTTGGGGGCTGTCACTGGGCACCATTGAGTTTCTGCTCCCTCCAAAGATTTTCTATTGGGTTCAGGTCTGGAGACTGGCTAGGCTGCCCCAGGACTTTGAAAGTCTTCTTACGGAGCCACTCCTTAGTTGCCCTGGTTGTGTTTTGGGTCATCGTCACGCTGGAAGACCCAGCCACGACCCATCGTCAATGCTCTTACTGAGGGAAGGTTGTTGGCCAAAATCTCACGATACATGACCTCATCCATCCTCACTTCAATACAGTGCAGTTGTCCTGTCCCCTTTGCTGGAAAGCAGACCCAAAGTATGATGTTTCCACCCCCATGCTTCACGATTGGGACGGTGTACTCATCCTTCATCTTCCTCCAAACACCGTGAGTGGAGTTGATACCACAAAGCTCTATTTTGGTCTCATCTGACCACAATACCTTCTCCCATGCCTCCTCTGGATCATCCAGATGGTCTTTAGTGAACTTCAAACGGGCCTGGACATGTGCTGGTGTGAGCAGGGGGACCTTGCGCACCCTGCAGGATCTTAAACCATGATGGTGTAGTGTGTTACTAATGATCCCCTTTGAGACTGTGGTCCATCTGTCTTCAGGTCATTGACCAGGTCCTCAGGTGTAGTTCTGCACTAAATCCTCACCTTTCTCAGAATCATCCTTACCCCACGAGGCGAGATCTTGCATGGAGCCCCAGACCGAGGAAGATTGAGTCATCTTGTGTTTCTTCCATTTTCTAATAATTGCACCCACAGTTGTTGCCTTCTCGCCTGTTGTCCTGTAGCCCATCACAGTCATGTGCAGGTCTACAATTTTGTCCCTGGTGTCCTCAGACAGCTCTTTGGTCTTTGCCATGGTGGAGAGTTTGGAGTGTGATTGTGTGTGTGGATAGGTGTTGTTTACACAGGTAACAAGTTTAAACAGGTGCAGTTATTAAAGGTAAAAATCGACAGTACCGTATATCAATCACTTATGTACGCTCGATCTCAAACAATGAAAAGTGTTGGGGCTCAGAATCCGTGTTGAGGACGACTCTCAGCTACTACCACACCAGATTCTAGCTATAAATTGGTTTAACTGACCAAATTACCCACACTTTTGTGTTTGCTAAGTTTGATTAAACTAGATAAAGCTCAAATGCTGCAGACATGATGAGATGAACACAAAAACATCACTCCACTTTTGTCTTTGGACGCTGGCAATAAAAAGACGTCCTTGGACATTTGTGCAACTTTAGCTCTTATTCAGTCACATACACTGATTAGCCATAACATTACAACCAGATGAGGTGGAACACTATAATCATGTTGCTATCTTGTAGTTGGATGATAATATATAAATATAAAACAATGCAGCAAGCGAACCTTTGAATTTTAAATTTCTTGTGTTTGAGGTATTTTTTTGTTCTTGCAAATTTAGAAATTTGATCTTTTTGATAAAGGACAACAAATGACTGGTCATAATGACTATTTTAAAGTTCAGAGTTGATTTTAGTGGTTAAAAAAAAAAAACTTTATTAACACAAAAGTATACCTGATCTGAGTATTTTACCGTTTTTAATTCTTGAAAAAGTCTAAAACATTTAAATACTTTGCATTTTTTGTGTGTTTATCTCACCTGCCAGGCCTTCTCATCAAAAGGTCGAAGTTTATTCTGTATCTTGTGATGAGGGCGGGTTTGTGAGGAGGGGTCTGCAGCCCCTGCAAAGATAGACGAATAATCCTGAAGCCGGTCCGGGGCCGGGTACTTGGCACTGGAGAAAACCTACATGTACAAGAAATGTAGATGTTTTCATTTTGTTTTGTCCACACCGTAAACCAGACAGAAAGCCTGTAAAAGTTTATTTTAAAGCTAAGAGAGGTGTGTTACCTTGGTGGCCTTCTTACTGCCTTTAATCTTGTCAACGCGGGCCTGAGCCAGTCTGATCCGGTCAGAGACGCTCTGCAACTGGCGCCGATTCCTCTCTACACTTTCAGAAACCCTGAAAAGCACAAAGAAGTACGGCTATGAGCAAAAGAACATCTAATATCAAAGTAAAATACATCTTTAACATCAAAGAGTCACGATTGTAGAGATTTTAATTATAAAGTTTCACTAAACATCCAATCACAAACAAGTCATAATTCAAGAGGTTAAATATTCCATAAACACACGGCCCATAAACATTACTGTTCCCTGTCTTATTACAGGAGACATTTTTATTTTCAGGGTGACAAACGGCACCATCTGTTCTGAAACAGCTGCTGTTTGAAAACAGTCTGCTTAATATGACAACTTGATCCATTACTGTAGGTTTTCAGCAGCTGCTGTGACGTTTGATATCTGTTTAGTTCGCACTTATCAGGGCTTTCTGATAGATGCTTTGTGGTTAAAAGGTTTTTGCGGTTTATCTTTATACATATAACAACTTTACTGTTTTTGAAACGTTTAATCTTTTGCAAATTTGCTCACCAAGAAACAAATAAAATAATCCAAAACTGATTATTTATTGGTTTAAAAAACCCAACAGGTTCTCGCTGCACTCACCTACACAACAGGAAATGAATAACAAATAAAACGTTTTAAAACAAATTTATTACACAACGTTGAAACTCGAAGGTGGAAAAGTTGCTGCCCGTGTCTCTGTTTGTTGTTTATGCCTGTTAGCATCGAAACCCTCAGAAAGTTATCATTAACTTTACATCTACAACTAACTTTTGAAGCAAACCCAACTCAAGATGGCCACCACAGCTAATCAGACTTAGTCCACACATACACGGCTGTAACTCAGTCAGTTTTACAGATATTGAGCTAAAATGTGGTGTGGTAGTAGCTGAGAGTCATCTCCAACAGATAATCTGGGAACAAACACATCTGGGGAAAATATGACAATATGTCACACAAAGTATTTTATAAAGTTTGACCAAAACAGTTAAAACTGTCCTTTTTCTAAATGACATGATTTCAGTTTAAATCTCTGGCATGAATGACGACGGGTGACATGCGTTCCTTTAAGGCAGAGGTTCCCAACCCTGGTCCTCAAGGAACACTATCCTGCATGTTTTAGTTGTTTTCTTGCTCCCGCACACCTGATTCAGTGATTTAATCACTTCCTCTAGTTCTGCAGAAGACTGTTAATCCCCCATTCATTCAAATCAGGGAAACAACTAAACAATGCAGGATGGTGTTCCTCAAGGACCAGGGTTGGGAACCACTGCGAATGCTAGGTCATCAGTTGATAAGAGGTTTAGCTATAAATTTCAACATTTGTCTCAGAAAGTTGTTACACTAAACAAAATAAAAGATAAAAAGATAAAACTTATTATTTGCTGAAAGTGACAGAAAGCGATCCAGTTTTCAATCTGACGCTAAATTTTATAAAGACGAGTCTACGAATCTCAGATGTCATCTAAGTCATTTGTTGAGAACACTGACACTCCAGGAAACCTGTAGTTGTCTTTTTGTTGCTTCTGTGACTGTGCGTGCGTTGGACTTGCCTTCTGAAAATGTCTGTAGAAATGGACTCCAGGTGCAGCAAGGCATCTGCGATCTGGTGAACAGCCTCCTCTCGCCTCAGCTCGGGTTGGATGAGCGGCACCGAGTACACCTGGCCCTCCAGGCAGTGCCTCTGTGTCATCCTACAAAACAACAGCAATGTAAGCACCACTTCAACATTTTAACTCAGTTGTTTGATTTTTAACAAAAATAAATGAGAAATATTCTGGATTGTGGAAATAGAAATTAAATTGAAAATTTGTTCAACACAAATTCTAGAAATATGTTTATAGTCTACATTAGAAGGGTCTAAAACTTTGAGAAACTACAAACAGACGAGTGTAAAAGGACAAATAAATAAACTTTTGTGTAGGATAAGCATAAATGTTGATATATTAAAATTATTGTAAACTTTAATGACTTAACCTTCATCAGGAAGACTAAACATAATGTACAGAAAAATAAGAAAATGCACACCAAAGATGAAAAAAGGACAAACAGCAGGAAATGGAAGAAATTTACCTAAAGAAATTATCTTAAGCAAATTAATAGGAAGATTATACATTTTACCTTTGGAGGAAATTACTTGGCTCTTTTTCCCTTTTTTTTTTTAAACAGGAATTTAAAATAAAATGTTTAATTACAACTGAATGAAATTTGTTGAATAAAACAACTAAACGTTAAAAATGTTTAGTTGCAAAAATGAGAAGTTTTGCAACAATTATGTTTATTTCTTTCTAAATTATCTACAAAATACCCAGCTAACTGAACAGCCAATTGAGATTAGTTTCTTCCTATTTCCGGATTTTTACCTTCATTGTGAAAACAGCACTTTAATGCTAAAAATGTAATCTCAATAAATCCGAGTGTTACTTTGGGATGAGCACTTTTGTAACATGCTGGACTCATCATCACCTGACTCCCACATGACGAAGACGCGATATTTTTCTTCAGCAAATCAGCTTAAATTGACATTTAAACAAATGTCTCACTGCTTATGAACCTACGAGCCATCTGTTTTATGCACATATACTTTAAAAATAACAGAACTGATCATTCATGAGACATACACAACCTGTTCGTGAGTGTGAGCAGAACACAAAATGTTATGTTTAAAAATATCAGCCTTACCTGACCATGTGTTTTATTTAAATGTTAACGAAAACTAAAGAAATAAAAGTCGTGACAAAATGTAGGTTTGTTGGGAAGAAGCTAAGCTTAGGGTCGCTGTCTAACTCAACTAGCAAAACATCGTTTTCAAAGACTTCCGCAACGTTGCATCACGTGATCACGTGTGGAACTATACAGTTGCCTTCACTGTAACTCGGAAAGTTCACCACCGATGGCGACGTGGTAGGTAAATACAAATTAAGCTCTTTTTCGAGACGTCACCATCTTTACCCACTGTTCCACTTTGGAGTAAGCTGTTGGGGGAAAAAATCAGTTTTGTGTTGTGTGTTTCCTTGACTGATGAAGCCTTCCGGATGGAAGGTGAAACGTTTCAGAAAAAAAAAAAAGAAACTGTCCCTGAAAATTGTTGGATTGTATACCTGGATTATTGAGCCTGGACTATTTTGCTCTTTTTCGAAAGCTTTTTTTAAAAGTAACGTTAGGTGATGGTGGTAGAAACACCTTTGAGCTACAATACATTTTATTTTCTTTAAATTATAAAGAATTTTGTTATATACTTAAGAAATAAACACAATATTTTTGATTTAGCTCTGTAATGAAGGAACATTCAACTTTGCATTTGAAATTACAGTTTAAAACGAAACTATTGTCATAACACTGTGAGAGAAAATACACTATGTGCAGATTATAACACGTGGTTCCAAGTTTATAACCCATGGTTCATTTTTCATAGCTACAATGATTGGTTGTGCAATTAAGATAGTAAAATGAAGCTCAATTACTAAACAAGCAAGAATAACAATTTTCGTGTTAGCAATATCAAATTTGGCAACCATAAACTGGGTATAAACGATAAAACTAAACTATTTCTAAAAGATTGCCTGCTCAAGTCTTGGTGTCAATTTGTCAAAGTGTGATTAAGATTGAAACAATCAGAAAATGCTACATTTATTCAACTTATTAAATAAAAATTTTATGGTCACTAGTTTCAAAAGTTGATCAACAAAAATGCTAACAAAGTTATGATTTTTTTTTTTTAATCAACAGCACTTGATACCTCTTGGATTAATTGTGCCATTGACGTCGAGTTATTTGTTCTAAAACCATATTGACTAATTTCATTGTACTTAAAATATTCTGCTGACCAACAAATCTATCTAACCTGGTTACAAATAATTTCTCTAAAATCTTTGAAATCTGTGATAACAAGGACTCTGGCCTGTAGTTAGTAAACACATTTATTTAAAATTTTACAAAGAGGAATTACTTTAGCTTTCGTATTGTCCAGAAATATTCCAGTTGAAAATGTAATACTGATTAAACTATTTCACTTTGATCACAAATTTCCACATAATCTTCTACTAAGTATCTCAACATACAGGCTTTATCATTCAGCATACTTCATTATTCCCAAGTTATATATCCACTACTTTTATTTAATAGATCAATAATTCATACCAACTTAGTTTTGTAATTCTTGTATCTTTCTTCTGCGTTTGTTTTTGAGTTTAAGAAACACAAATAGAAAGTCTTCTTTTCTTTACAAGTATTTTGCCCTTTCGTCATCCATGGCTTGTCAATAACATTTTTCATGGCACAGATTTATTTCATGTACAGTGAATCTCAGAATACTCATGAACACATGCTCTGTTTACATCATCAGCATCCTTCCAATTCTGTTTATTTTTTTAAATAATTTTTCAATGTACCAGTATTTAAAGCTTACTTAATGTGTTTCCTTTTTGTTACATTGATCATTTTTATGTAAACACTGGCAAATGATCACTTCAGTCCTCAAAATCCCACTCGTAGCCTCTCCATTTCTTGCATTTGCAAAAAAAGTTATCTTTTTTTATTATATTGATTATATCAATACTATTAGAAAGAGTACTTACAAGGTTTAGACTTGCTGTAGCCCCCAAAAACAAAACTTTATCTCTTCAAAGGCGAATTATTTTCACTGTCACATTTTTCACAAGGAAGAACTGAGCAGCAACCTTTTGCACCTATAGGGTGCGTGCTTGCTCTGGCCTCGTCGTGCGTAATGACGCACCCATCTCGCCTTCCCTCCCTCCTGTCACATCTGGATCTGGCTCCTCTCATCAGCACCACTCAGCGCAGTGGGAGAGAGTGAGAGGGAGGGAGGCTGGGAGGGGAACGACCGGCTCGGGCGGCGCAGCTTCATCCACCACCGAGCAGAACCAAGGAGAGAAGAGAAGGACGTCCAGATATCTGCATCTCCTCATCCCTCCATCCACCAGTCCCGCGCCTTCTCTCTCCCTCTTTATTTCTCTCCCTGCTCTCCCCTCGGATATTATGAGCTCCAGCTTGCTCGAAAACCCGGTGCAGGCGATTCTGTACCTGCGGGAGCTCACCACCATCGTGCAGAACCAGCAGAGTCTCATCCAGACCCAGCGCACACGCATAGAGGAGCTGGACCGGCGGGTGGACGAGCTCATCGGTGAGAACAGGCACCTGCGGGACGTCAGGGTCCAGCAGCAGCATCCCTACCTCCATCACCATCTTCATTTCCCTGACCCCAGCTGCCTCCATCATCACCACCACCCGCAGGAACCCCAGCTCAAAACCAGTGGGGGGTCTCTGCCGGACCATCATGCGGCCGCACCAGTGCAGGTTGAAGCGGCTCCGGGCGTCCAGCCCCCGCCGGCTCAACCTCTGGACCCGGGGGACATGCAGCTAGTCCCGGCAGACCCGTCTACGATCTCCCCAGTGGAAAGTGAGTCCGAGAATGGCGGAAGTTGCCCCAGCTGCAGGTCTTTGGTTCCACTGACCCCAACAACCCTGTGTCGGTCCCTGACCCTGGCGAGGAAATCCGAGTGAGTAAACACTGAGGTTGTTTACGCATGTTTGAGCTTTTGTGCGTAAAAATTCTAATTAGGACCAACATGTTCAAATAATGCCTTTAAAGCCTCTGCTGGTTCTGACACCAGTGGTACCTCAAGGACCCTTCTGGTCTTTTCCAGGACCGTCAGTACTTTGTGTGCAGCATCCGTCTCAAAGCACCCAATCAAGGGCGTGCGTGCGCGCGAGCGTGCGCGACAGATTGAGAGGCGTTTAATTAATGAAGAGAGCAGATCGCAAACGTCCAAGTCCGTCGGGCGAGGAGGAAGAGGAAGATGAGGATTATTTATATGAGAAACTGGATCACGATCAGTGGACTCGTTACATAACAAACAGCTGTGGGCCTTAACGCGCGTGTGCACGTCGGTGTGTCCGTGAGTGTGTGTGCGTGAGAAGCGCACGCTGATGAGACGCTGTCCGTGGTGCTGCTGGCCTGCATGGGTCTCAGCACGGGATCTCTGGGCCTAGATGAGACATTAAACACGCGCACGCGCACGCACGTCCTGTTTGGCACCAAAGCGTTACAGTAGATCAGCACATTATCTAACGAGAGAAAACTCGTGTTTCCATCTTTCATTCCGCGCGCGGGCGCGCGCGTGTCTCAGAAGTTGTACTCCAGCCGGGGCCTGATTGGTCTCGCTGGGACTCCTCCCCCACCGAGGGAGCATCTTAAAATCAAGCTGATTGAGAGGAAAGGACACATTTACAGTTCTGTGCAAAAGTCTTGAGTCATCCCGCGTGTTTTATTTTTATTTTTTGTGCTTATTCCTCTTTTAGACTTAGAAAGACTTTCAAAAGAAACTCTTTGGACTGTGGCAACTTTTTATGTTCATTTCAATTCACTTCAAATCTTGTCTGAGGATATTTTTGTTTCATGTTTGTTGAATTTGAGCAGCATCCAAAGACTGAAGGAATATTTATTGCATCTACCAGTCAGCTTTTGGTGCTCAAATCAATTTTACAAAGATGGGTCAAGATAAGCATCTTAAACCAAATTTGCCAATGTTGCCTCATGTGTCCTGAAAAATCTGTAAGTCAAGTCTGTGATTCAACAACTAGGACGTCCACGGAAGAGCCGTTTGGACTGAGAAGTCTGACAATTTTGCCTCAGATTTGTTACAGATATAAGTGCTTTGTTTACATTGGGTGCGTACCTGCATTTTAGAATTGCACATCAATATGTCTGTAAAACTGCTCAACTCTTTCAAACTGCACCGTTTGAAAGATCAGAATAAACATTTTGTCTGATTTCATAGTTTGCAATGAGTATCTAACTGAAACTGTAATTTAAGTTGATCCTTCGGTATCAGCAGCTAGTCACAATGATTACATTTGTTCACATTTCTTTATCAATCAACCTTTATTTATACAGGTAAATCCCATTGAGCCTCGAGGACTCATTTACAAGAGAGACCTGATTTCAACAAAGAAAGATGACAACAATGGACAACAGCAACAACAATAAGCAGTTATAAAAACTCATACTACAGTTTTTTTTTTTTTTTTTTTTTTTTTTTTTAACAAATAGGATGGCTAAAAGGAAAAAGGTAACAAAACCAAAAAAACTACTAGATTCCGAGACAAATGTATAAAACTAAAAACAGGAACATGTCTGCATTGGTCCCTGCCAGGAGTCCAACAGATTCTTAAAGCCACTTAGAGAGGTCAAGGTCGAGAGCTTCAAATCTTTTTGTAAGATATTCCAGGAAACAGGAGCGGAGTAGGAGAAGGCCCTTTTGCCTAGTTCAGTCCTCACTGAGGGAACACTGCAGGTAATAATGTCCTGAGAGCGCACGCTGTAGCTGCACTCACGCAGAGACATGTAGGAGGAGATGTATGAAGGCAACAGACCAAGAAGTGATTTAAAGATGAAAATGTATCAGTGAGAGAGTCTGCGTGAAGTTAATGATGTCCAGTTAACCAATGAATACAGGGTGCAGTGGTGGGTACGATAATCACAGCCAGTTATGAATCTTAGTGCACCATGATAGACAGCATCCAACATCTGCAGGGTTCTTGTAGGAGTGTTCATGTAAATAATATCACCAAAATCAATTGAGGGAAGGAAAGTCACAGATACAAGGCGTTTTCTAGCATTCAGGGTTAGACAGGATCTGTTTCTGAAAAAGAAACCCAGTTTAATTTTCAGCTGACTCAGAAAATACAGAAATTAGCCCAAATTGACCAACGTTAAACAACATTTAGCAACAACATGGTTACTGAAAATGATGGATTTTCAAGATGTCTTTTCTGGATTTTTTCCCAAAATTTTCTTCTAGACATGACATTCAGACACGGTTCACTTGCTGTAGCTTGTTTGTCAGCAATGACATTTATTCACTGTCTTAACTTTTTCACTTTCTTCATCTTTTAAGCACAAGCTGAACAAAATGCTACAAGTTCAGGCACAACGACTGGATATAAATGAGGTTTAAAAAATACAGCCAAGTCTAAAAAGGACTTTGAAAAATACCTTCTGAAAGTGTGAGAACTAGTGATCAAAACAATGAGAAAGTTTCCAACGAAGTTCAGTCAGGTCATCTTGATGGTTTCTTTTATTGTTGAAACGTTTTGTCCTTCATCCAAAGGACTTCATCAGTCTGAGGAGCCACAACAAACTCAGTCCCACAAGCAGCACACTCCCATGGTGGACCAACCAGTTTGATGGTGATAAGATGGTTTCTGGGGCCGCCCTCTCCCCCATCAACTTCTCTGAAGCAGCCAGACCTAAAGTGGTTCAAACCATCAAAGTTCATGCTCAGTAATACAGATAAAAATCCAACAAAGTTCAGTCAGGTCATCTGGACATTTTTTTGCTGAGTCATTTTGTCCTTCATCCTAAGGACTTCATCAGTTCGAGGAGTGATGAAGAGTGATGTGATCCTCAGACTGATGAAGTGCTTTGGATGAAGGAAGAAACGCCTCAACAAAAAAGAAACCACCCAGATGACCTGACTGAACCTTGTTGGATTTTTTTACCTGGATTATTGAGCATGAACTTTGACATAAGAAACTTTTATTTCTTAAAAGTGAAATCCAAAGAAATTAGGAAACTTTTGCACAGTTAGTCCTCGCATCGCATGTTCCTGATTGAGCCTGTGCTGACTGTGACTGAGTCCTCTAAAGAGCTCACTCTTCAGCTACGATTTAAAATATTTTAGAATTAGAAGTAAAATGATAAAGGTGGTTATTGTTTAATACATTTTATTGGTGGGGATTTAAACGAAACAAGGATTTACAAATGTTAAAAGCAACCAGCTGACATGGATAAAGCAGCAGAATGTTTTCTTAAATATCTCGTCTGCTGTGACTGAACGCAGCCTTACAGCACCACAGTCTCAACAGTTTTCATCCTCCTGCCTCAGAACATTGGCTCAACATCTAATGTTTACAGACGCCTCTGCCTGGGCCGGCAGGTGTGTGTGTGTGTGTGTGTGTGTGTGTGAGGCTTTTAACCTCTCCGTCCTTGCCAGCTGTGTCCCGCCTGCAGCTGAGGGCTGACTGGAGATCAGTTATTCTTCTTGTCAGTCTGTCTCAGCGAGTTCCTCGTTCAACTTGTGCACGTGTGAATGAGCCTATGAGTGCACGTCTCTGTGCAGGAGCATGTCTTCACATGCCTTTTCTGGATGTATTTGTTTGAAATTTGAAGTCAGACGACATGCGTGGAGCTCAGGGGCTGGCAGTGAGTGCGTTGAGGTGCTTTGCATCGTTGTCAGTGTTGCCACGGCACGTGAATATGCCTGTGTGGGTTTCATCCAGGAGCCTCTCCTCCGCTCGTTCTCCATCCCTCTCTCTTCCCCCCTCTCTCTCTTTCCAGCTGAGCCTTCTATCTGCCCCACTTAGCCCATGGAGCGAACAGTAATCAGCCATTCTCAGGAGGGAGAAAGGCAGGGAGATTGAAAGAGAAAGAGGGAGATGCACGCTCAGCCGTTGTCTTTGATGGAGCCCTGGGAGGTGTTTAAAGGAGGAAGCTGGAGGCTGACACTGGAGTGGACCAATGACAGACAGAAGCTGAGTGAGAAAGGGGAGAAAAAAGAGAATAAAAGAGGAGCAGTGGGGAGGAGGGGTTGCTTAATACACAGACTGAGACAGGTACCAGGAGAAACCACCATCACAGGCTAAAAATAAAAAAAATGTGCATTATCTCATCAGCCATGTATTGAAAGCATTATTGGAAGGAAGGCATATCGCCCCCAAGATGGCTGCCACAGCCACATTTTGCAAGATGTGTTAACGCTCAGCTACTATAAGCTACCCCCCTCCCATTACTTGTAATTGTAAGTCCCTGTATAGTCATTTTTGTGGTTGAATAGCGGTGACGGCCATATTGAATATGGTTGACTCCAAAAGTTAATTCCTTCTGATGATTTCTTTCGATGGGCGTTTCATTCAAATCTGCCCACTGGTTCATGAGATATTTTGCTAACAGTACACAACATGGCTGTGGCTGCACATGGCGTAGCTGACGGGTCAGACTATGTCCTGATGGCACTTTTTACAGTCCAAATGAAGCAGATCATTTTGCAAACCATGTCTTTTTATACAGTTTCGTCTTCAAACTGTCTGGTAAAAGAACTGTGCCTGAAGTGGTTTTACAAAACAGCCGAGGAGAGAGCAGAAGCACGAGGACATGAGCCAACAGCAGAATATACATGTACTGCTAAAATATTCACCTGTTCTTCTTGTACGCTTCATCCCAGGCAAATGTGCCGACAGATGGATCCAGTGAAGAGTGTGTGTTAGTGTCAGCTTAGCCTCTGCTAACAGAGTTCTCACACCGACAGCAGCTGAGCGCTCTTTCCTTCATTCTCCGGTCACTTTTCCAATGCTGATATTATTATTATTATTATTATTATTTAAATAGACAGACAACACTCTTTCGTCTTTTGAGAAGGCAGACAGTTGAACTAAAGCATGATAAATATTAACAATAAATAAATAAATATAAATACCCCATCTGGTTTTGATCAAAGGT